TTGATTCCTCCAGTTCCATTCTTCTTTCTCAGGATTACTTTGGCTATTCGAGGTTTTTTGTATTTCCATACAAATTGTGAAATTATTTGTTCTAGTTCTGTGAAAAATACCGTTGGTAGTTTGATAGGGATCCTGCAGAGAATTCTTAACCACTGCACCACAGTGTGAAGGCAATGGCACCCCACCCCAGTACTCTTGCCTGGAGAATCCCAGGGACGGCGGAGCCTGGTGGGCTGCAGTCTATGGGGTCACACAGAGTCGGACACGACTGAAGCGACTCAGCAGCAGCAGCAGCACCACAGTACCCCGCTTTGGGGCCTCCCACTTTTCCCTTTTTGGAGCCCCCTGATTTAGCGGTCAGGGAGATGGCCTGACATCCACCCTCCTCTCTTGGAGAACTAGTATAATGTTTTCTCAGGAACGGACTTTGTGAAGTCCTCCTGTGGGTTGGCGGGCTGAGGCTGTCGGTTGCAGCCCTTTGGTTTCCCGGTACATTCTCAGAGAAATGTATTGTAAGTCTTTGCTTGTTCCCTCCTGTCTCAATTTGGCTTCGGGGTTGGTTTTTGGTGCCACAGATGTAATTTCACTTAGGTGAATTTATAGACACAATGTCTTTGGTCATGGAGGACAACAAGCATTTCCTTGGAGAAATTTCCTCGTGCCGTTCTGACCTTTTCTTGTTTTTCATTTGCAAAGGCTGCATTTCCCAACGTCTAATACCATTATCACCCGAATAACCTTCACTAGAGGCTGTGTCATTTGCTGCCTAAAATTGCATGAAATCACTCTCTTTAAAAAGTCAGGAGAAAAAGAGGCACATGATAAAATATATTTGTTTAATGCCTACCTTTTAGAAAGGAAATTTGACTTCTGCATTCATGAAGGAAACTGATGGAACTGAATGGACTGTTCTGAGTGTATTAATGTAAAAACGTTCAGAGAGTTTATAAAGGGAAGAAACTATCATCATTTGACGTGAAATATCTGATTATGTATGTATTATCACTTATTTTACATTATCTTATTTTAGGGCTGATCAAGATTCATAACAGCATTCTTTTTCAGCCTACCACAATGAATTTGTATTTTAATAGAACACTTCTTGAGTGGGTTCTTTGTGATGTGTCTTGAGGATTGCGTTTCAATCATGTGGGCAGAGTAGGCAAAATTCACTTTCTCCCTTTACTGAGTCACTTTAAAAAAAACCACTGCACAAAACACTCCATCTATTTAACTAAACACTGGGAGCTGGGTTCTATGTTAGGCATTACCTAAGAAAGAGAAATGAAGACTTTTTTTGGTTCCAGTTTCTTTCTTGACTTGACTTGGTTAGGGAGGTGATTATTGAAAGACATAATATTGGCATGGGTTTCGTAGATTAAATAATTTCCAAAGTAAATTTGGTTAGAAAATGAATTCTTAAAACATTATCTACTGGAACATAGATTTAATTATATTTTATACCATACTTTCCTATTTTCTGAAATCCTGTAAGACCTGTGTCAGTTCTGGTGTATAATTTTAATGACATTTCTGACAAAATAAACATACAATCAGAAAAGCACTTAAAGTGGGGGAATTCCTTGTGGTCTAGTGGTTAGAATTCAGTGCTTTCACTGCCACGGCCCAGGTTCAGCTCCTGGTCAGGGAGCTGAGATCCTGTGCAGCCAGAAAGAAAAAAAGAAAGTTCTGTAGAATAAAAAGTTTAACAGAGTCATTTATAAACCCTACAATATTTCACGTGCCTCATGACTTCGTTAACTGTTTGCAAACGTGTTGCACTGCATGCAAACACATATTCCTTATGAATGTAGGTTAACTGAAGAAACACATACGGAATTATATGTCAGCTAAGCTAAATTCTAGGGCAAGTGGTTCCAGTATGCACACCCACATCTGAAAGCTAAATGGAAATAATCTTATGGAAGAATCTGAAGGCCAAATAAATGGCTTAGAAAATGTGAAAAGTAGGGCTAAGAACAAAGGGGCGCTAAAATGAGCTCTTCAGAGAGAGCAAGCTGG